AGAGAGAGAGAGAGAGAGAGAGAAGTTGTTGACTTAAGCCTTTTAGAGCTCAGCATATTAATATGGCTTAACTTTTTATACTTTGCTTTTATACTTTTCTGTTGGATGGTTAAGACCAAGACAAAGCAACACATATCTAAAAAGTAATGTACCTTTTCTATCTGATCAGGTCAGTCAAATCCCCTCAGGATTTATCCTGAAACCCAGTACTCCAGTTTGTAGATCTTTTCTGAGTGTCAGCCATTTGGATGAGTCATGGCCATTGCTTGACAAATGTGCACTCTGAGAAAGCCTGAAAGAATGTTTACTCTCCATGTGACTCTCCTTAGGCACACTCTATATCATTGATCACTTTCCTCTGTGGCCCCATAACCACCTTGATCAGAAAATTTGGGACACTACTGAGTTACAGTGCAGGTTCTACTATGTCTTGAGTCTTCATTGATCTTGAAAGGCTAGGGCCAAGATGTTGGCTCTCCTTGCAGCCCTTCTTTTTTTCTAATTTTTGGTCTATGAACTTAGGTTGTTAATCATCCATAAGAGAAGCTTATTAATATTGCCCTACAACATAGGCAGTTGAACTTAACCTCTCTACCTGTCTGAATATCAAACATCTTAGGCATAATATGGAACAGGTATTTTCCATCAATTATGGATATGTTAAACTTTAAGTCCCTACAGAATATGAAGAAAAAAATTTAAAAATAAAAAGTATTTTAAAAATAGGAATAAACAGTTACACATTTTTACACAGATATTTAGAAATCTAACCATATACAGCATTGTAGCATGACAGTGCTATGACAATTTTTTCCTTGTCTCTTGTTTTCATTTAATACCCCTCCCTATTTTTTAAACAAACATTTACTTGAGAGACAGTATGGCAGTAATTGGTATGTCATGACAAACAGTATGTATATAAAAAACCAGAATAACAAGCATCCCAAGAATGACTCTAGTATTACACATTGCTATTGTCAATGCAGTTGCTTAGTTCAGAGCAATCAGAATATATAGTTACTCAGAGTGAAAATCCTACCAATTAATTTCTAGTTTCAAAAACATGCTGAAGATTCTCAAGATCATTCTTTCACCCATCTTGTGCATATAAATGTATAGCTTTGTCCCTGTTCTGTTTCCTAGCTTTTCTCCTTACCTTCTTGTTGTTGTCTAGTCCTCAAGTTCTCACTTTCCTTTTAATTGTGTTGTACCTTTCTATTTTTATTTCTTCT